CAACTCCGTCATACTTGTGCTTCGTATAAAAGTTCTACAACTTGTACTCACATGAAACTGAGTTTCCCCGGATTCGATGACATGTAGAATTACTGTGAAACCCTCTAAATTGGGATTAGATGTTTAAAATAAGAGTATAGCTAGAATTAAACTTTCGTGTTTATGGCTGGGTGTGATGTATCGTAGTAGTGTGTCCGTGTGCTCATGTATATGCTGCGTTTCGTGTTTAGATGGCGCACACCATCAAAGGCCTCGACCTTGGGGGATCCTCTTAACGCCGATTAGCTTTCTTTGTCAGATCAGCTCATCGATCTTAACTCGCTTTATCGATCAAGCCTGAGTTATCAAGTTACGATCGTTGCTTTATGTCATAGAACAAGAGATGTCATCTCAAATCTGATAATCAATTTTTTGAAACTAGTACTCCTGGGAATAAAATCAATGATATCTGTGTTAAACTGCGAAGAAATCTCTCCCCTTCCCTTCAATGCCGTCGGTCCAAGGATCTTTCTCCCTTCTCGAAAAGGAGGAGGAGGTGACCAACTGTATAGTGTTCGTTAAGGGTTTACTCCCGCCCTCTCTGCAGGCCGTTATTCTAATGCAAGATGCCCCCTCACCCCGTATTCGTCACAGGGTGCCCCCCACATAAATTTGTACGCTCGGCCCCCTCGGTCTCGCGGGACACGGAATCGATGGATCTCCCGAAATTAATGGACACCCCCTTTAGCATAAAATGAGCAACGCCCTCGCGCGCGTGTTGTTGGACGTCCCTCAAGTCCCCCCTGACTGCGATTCTCATCCATATGTGCTCAGGGGGTGGCGGCCACACCTGGTGATTTTCCGTGGCACTCTCCTCGTAAAATCGACACCCACAAATTCATCGGCACCCTATTTCCGGCTGAGATCAGTGTCCCTTATGGACCGCACACGTATGTACGGTGTATATATGGAAATGCATATAGAGAGAGAGAGGGAGAGAGAGCCGAAGTCAGGAAGCGTAAGCGTGAGGCTAAGTAAAAGTCCAATGATAAAGTATTTTCTCCGGGCGCGTGAGATCCGTCAGTTTTCGGTGCTTGTCGGAACAGGACTGCTGCTCGCTAGAGGAGAGCTTCTCCTCGTCCGTTACATCTCGGTTTTTCCGAAATTGTTATTAAAATTGTTTTTAAGGACAATGAACCTTCCAAAAAGTCTACATACGCAAGGTTACATTGCGCGAATATTTTCTATTTCTTCTTTTCTCAATAAAGATATCTTCATAACGTAGAAGATTTTTTAATTTGATAAAGAAATACACACGCTGTTTATTAAATTCGGCTTTTCATTATTTTTAACTTATATTCGCAATTATTGGGACACTTTCCGAATTTCTGTGTATGGTACTGTATTTTTGTTACAAATATTAATATTAGAATGTTTTGCAGCTTGCAACGATCCTGAAGCAGAAGCAGGTTTTCTTGCGAGTTGTTGATTACGCAACACTTTTCATACATGAAATTTTTCAAATTTTATCTTATAGAAAGTGTAAAAATATTTAAAAATATTACCAAAAAAATTCATATTGTTCAAATTCAAATTATTCTTCTATATGCCAACAATTTTTTTTTACTTTCAATTATTTGATTTTAATTTCAATTTTAATTTTAATACCAATTGAATTAATCAAAGTTTAACGAAACCCGGCTTGTAAAACTTTGGCGTTATTAGTTTTTGAAATATCTCGCAATAAAAGTGCAGTATGCGTGCACTTCACAGATAAACTTAGTATATTGTAAATTACTTTCAACCAGTATGCAGAAAGTATATAGTATTTATTTTACGTTCCCTGGTTCTAATCTCAGTTTTAGAAGCAGCAATTACTTTACACACCATTATTTTACGTTACTGATTAGAGACAAGAAGTGTTCCCTTTTTTTAGAATTCTTCCGAAAGCGATTGCCACGCGCATTATTTCGTATCGACTATTTGCCGCAAACTCACGAGAAAAGGATGACGCGGTACAAGACGTTTTTTTTACCTTTCCACAATTTCCATATTCGAGGAATAAATCGTCTTTGCAGGCGCCGCCGTCTTTCACATAACGTTTCAGGCACATCGATTGGCACAGCGCGGACTTGATGATCGGTCCGAGATCCAGATTAGCGGCCACCAGGGCCAAGGTCGCGCAGAATATCAACGCCGGAAGCCACGAGATCTTCATTCTCATCTTCGATAACGAAGAACCTTTTCCCTCACTTTTTTTTCCACCACAAAATTACTGTTATTATTTCCTTTCGCTAGCACTCCACGATATTTCGCGATTTTAATCGATCGCAGATCGTGCCGGCGGGACACGAGAGCCACGGGCGTGGACACCACGAGCGAAATTTCGGTGCGACTGCAGTCCTTCGGGGTTCGACAACTTCCTTATATAACCGCGCGTCCCCCACTGCTCGCTCCCCGGATTTTCGTTGGTCCCCACCCTTGCTGAGTTACCGTGAAGAGCATCTCTCGTAATTATATACGTCGTCGTCTCTCAGCATATGGCCTGCCCCGAGGTCTCAGTCCTGACCGAATTATTCAGCCTATATGAAATGTAGGCCAGTTTGTTGAAGGAATCGCGACAAATATTTCATAGTTCAGGGTGGAATATTCTTTGCGAGACAAATAATTTCAGTTGAATAACAATTTACTCCGTGGATGATAATGTACAATAATGGTAGATTAAATAAGGAATTAATAAGCAGCTAATAATAAGTAATATGAAAATGTAAGCTAAGGCTCGATGTAATTGACGTAACACTTAGCAGTAAGTTTCTTATGACACAATGACTAATGGTTTCCATTATAATGATTGATGAACTGATTTTAAATAGGAAACAATTAATGATATTTCTTGGAAAATTCGACTTTTTCTTTGAAAACACTTTTCCACCGACACACAAAGGAGAGACCATTAATTTTCTACACAGCCGAGTTTCGATTCTTTCATTCCTTTTGACCCGAAAATATGCACAATGTAAGATGCACAAAAACTGTATGGTTAAAATATTAATGTAAGCTATAATTCTCAAGTGCAGCTGCTAACAATTGTTATTAAATTCTAGCCATTATCACATTCTAATCAGTATTAAATTCTACATCGTTACGAGCCATAAAGCACCCTGATTTCACGAGCGATGAGGAAGGAAATTTAATTTGTCCCGCAAGCAAAGTTAATTTCGATTCGTATCCCAGTACCCTCGAATGGCCAGTTTCATTGTGGTAGAAAAGTGGTTGGTTGGAAGATGGCGTTTTTTGGCCCATACGCCGCGCGGAGATTCTGTATCGCAGACCAGAGAGTAGATAATTACAATAGGCCCCAACGAGTTGTTATTATGTGAAGATATTTGCTACATCATCTAGATGCACGCTTTACACTCGTCCGTCTTTTCGAATAAACTTGTGCGCCCTGTTAACAACAAAACTTTGTTTTAACAAGAAGCTTATTAATTGTGAAGAAATTCCTGAATTTATATTAAAAAATGATATTGCAAATATCATTGTTGGGCTACCTACATCTTGCTCGGACCTGCAGTTCTCATTTGTTTCATATTGTAAAGTTTTTTTAAATACCGAGTCAGCAAAATGTTAACAGATTGGCATCAAAGTCATTAGAAGCCCACACCAAAAGCACAGCCATCTGTGTCCGCATTTAGCTTTTGTTTCGGCAACAGGGTCTGTAAAACATACCCTGTCAACAGATTGTCGGCAGAAACCGAGCAGGTCCAGTGAGCAGATTTTCTTGTATTCCTGCTGACACATTCGACAACGTGTCGAACATATCAGTCCCTGTATGCAATCCGCAGTCCTTCTGCCTTCAAAATTTCTAGTGGGCATTTGACGAAGTCTGTTCTAGCAGATTCGCCTTACCCGGGTAGTCGTAAGAAATCTATGAAATATACACTGAGAAAAATTAATATTCATCGGATAAACCAATTAAATAATGTTTCCGACGGTTAATTTTCCCGATTACATATTTTCCGATTAAATTATGGATACATCCGAGGAAATTTATCCGATAAAATGCAGTTACCGATGAAATTTGATCGAAAAACCGATCATATTTTTCCTCGGGTATACGATTAAATTGGATATGTCCGTTTGTTATTATGCAATTATCCGATTATATTTAATCGGACATTTTTCTCAGCGTACATTTATGCCTTGCCAATTTTATTTTATTAAATGAGAAATTACCGAAGGCATTTGTTATTTCCACACGAAATTGTAGATTTCTAGAAAGCATTTCTAACATATTATGTTGCTTATAATATTACAAATAATAATAGCCTTCGCTTTTTCGGATTTCTCAGAAGAGAGCGGTCACGCTTCAACCTTACCATTATGGTCACGAAATTTAAGCGCAATTAGGCGTTCCGCCTATCCAACATCCGGGGAGTCTTCTGGGGAGTCTTGATGTAAGAAAGAAGGTGGAGAAGAACCAGCGTAGAACCCTGAGCGGAAACAGACGCGCTGCGGATCGAATGACCGATCCACCCATCGAAGTTTGATATCCGAAAACTCGTTGCGTATTTCCTTTCTCCCTCATACAGCAGGTACACACGAACTCTACCCATACTTAATCGGGAAAGAAAAATAAAAGATACGCAGCGAGGGGCGGGGGGGGGGAGGCACGAAGCGGAGGAGCACAGACTGTACTACGTCTCTTGCCGGAAGCCGGGATCTATGGGTGCCGCGCGCTACGTCACAATGCACAGGATGTGTACAAATAAGGGTATTTGTCCGCGGCGGCTGATTGTAGGGTGAAAATATACGTGACGCTAAAAACGGAGGCACGAGAAAGCTGGGTCGCATCCCCCGCGCTCATGCTCGACGGTGAAATAGAAAAGGGGCCCCCGAGCGACCCATTCATCTAGGCGGCGTAGTTTAGGGGTGGTGGTGCACACGGATCGCGAAGGCCCCTTCAATGGACGTGAGAGTGACGTTTCATTGTGCGCCGCGCTTTTCTCACACCTGGACCAGCGCGGCACAGCTCCGCTCCGCTCCGTTTCGCCTCGCTCGGACGTGCACAACAATATTATCTTAGCATACATAGCTCCTGTGTACAGAACGCGAGAATAACATGTGATTTATGCGGTGATTAATCAGTCTCCTGGTTTTCTGTCAATAACAATTACAAGTGATTAATTATCGAGTTCTTGCCTCGCGTATTATTGCGCTCTGTGCGCATCGACTGCCAATCCTTAGTGGTACAACGCGAAATAACAGCTTCAAGTTTCAAACTTTGTCAGTTGTATTATGTTAATTTTCGCGGGCTACTTTTCTTCCGCCGTTTTGGGAATTTTTTATTGTATGTTTTCTTTTCCAGAGATGATTTCCTTGGCAATATTTCCGTAAGAAACCATTATTACTAGTGTAACCAAAAATTCTCAATTTATGGCGATGCCTCTGAACTTGTTTCTTTTAATTTTATCTTCGTTTTTTCTCATTATCTATTTGCATATCTATTTTTGTCCTCCGAAATGCCTTTATCTTTTGTCAATCGTTCTCGTTTCTATTGAATTCGTTGCCTTAACATTTTTTTAGTGAGGACTTTGACCCCTCCATCGCAGATACCACAGAAAATATTATTCTAGGTTTCGGTGAGCCGAACAGTATGCATTGTTATTTTATCATCTAACGTCACGGAGCAGTTATCTATTTGTCGCATTCTTTCGTGAGTCCTATTTCTTATGAACTGATTGTTTATCAGCTTTGTAATCCGGAAAGACGACAGATTACCGCAGGCCGTGCGATTTCCCGTACGATTATGCCCTTTTTCCAGGGTTTAGTCCTATCTTTTAAGGGACAGAACTCGTAGGACCCTCATCTTTCCTAGCCAGTCGCCTTTCTCGTCTTGCTGATCGAGATTTAGATTATATCTGTCGCTCGTATTTTACCGCAACCGCTTTCTTCTGTACACGCTTTCGATTTCGTGTCCTGCGGAATCTTTATTGTAACAAAATAAAACTGGACGGATTTACTCTCACTTCGTAGAGAGTAAAAATTAACGAAGGAAAACATCGGCATGTGTATTCACGTTATTCCGTGTACGAGTTGTGTCGCGCTGCTTCGGACGCAAAATTATCGAAAATCCGAACTCAAAACTAACGTCCTGCAAATTTTGACAATTTGTTTCGAGGACAACGAGCGTGGTATCATACGCGCGCCATTTGTCGAATGATCCTGGAGATCGTAGACTAACAAAGCGGAAAATTCAGGCCGATTCGTTTCATCGAAGAAGGTAAGCGAAAGCTTTGAACGGCAGTTTTCGCGTCAAATGCGGCAGTGACAAATTTTTATTGTAGTCACCTCGCTTCCCCTCGCTCTTCGATTTGTGCTGTCATGCGGAATAAGCTGCGGCATAGACATATTTCTCTAAACGACAGGTGACGGTGGAAGTCGCTATTGAGGAGCCTCGGATTTCAGCTTCGCTACGGAGGAGGACCTTGCCGGGGATCGACACAGCTATTCGTCTGACAAATTCTCAAAAAGCAGAATTTATAGTCGCTCCAGCCACCGGTGGGACATCCCCGGGTCAAAAGCGTGATCGGGAGAGTTTACGACTTTGTCGGGCTGGGAAACGGACTTTCTTTGCTTTTCTTTGCCCATCTTCCACTTCTTTGCGTTATATTGTAAATGCTACATTATGGTACATTACGACAGCAGATAGTGTTATTAAGTTTCCGGGCCTTTCACTCTTGAGGGTATTGACGTTTCCCCGCAGCTTGGCAGAAGGAGAGAAAATCGTATCTTTCAGTTCGCTGTCGCCCTTTGAGTTTTAGAAATGACTTTCGCACATACGCTTGCTGTAAACTGAACTTTTCTATTGAGCGACCTGTCGTGTCTTTTTAATGAAAACAAATTATAAATTGTCCAGCCTGTATATAATATTAAATGGCAATATGTGTATCGATACTTGTGGGTTGGATAAGTATTTTGCTCTTGTGCGACAAGAGAAATGCATGTCTTCTCCTATATAAAAGAAGGCGTGTTAAATCGATAGTCGAAAGTCTCCAAGTATCGTTGTCGCTTTTCCGAGATGCTGATTGCCTGTCTCGCTTGTACGACACGACATGCTTCAGTCGTGTTACATGCAGCTGTCAAACCATGCGAAGCTTAAGACAGAGCAAATGGCGCGCTTGTGTTGTCCAGTTATTAAAAATACACGTGTTGTAGAGAAACAGTAATGCTCCTGAAATGTTTTTTAGAATCCTTTAAAACTGTTACATATTTTTTCAATATGTTCACCAAGCATTTTTTTATAATCGCTTGCATTCATTATTTGCTACGGAAATTAGACTCGGTCACCTTTTCACGGAAATTAGGACGGTCCTGCAAAAATCCCTTTGTG